TAGGGCCAAGTTATAAAAGATTTTATCTCTTATAAATATTCTAATTTCGGTATAGATAATTTGCTTTTGATTGGATCGGAGAAGGAATTAGTAGAAGTGCGCACAAGTTAGTTCGAACAACCCTGAATATTGAACTGAAAAAAAAAATAATTAAATATTGTGGTTATTAGGGCAACCGCTAACCTAATATAGACTACTGCTAAAATTTAAAATTTGTAATTAAATTACCCTGAACTTGTGACCAACATAAAATTGCTATTAGAGACAGCAATTTTGCTTTAAAAAAATAACCTCAATAAGTAACAATTTTGCAAAAAAAAAATCTAAAATACTCTCTTTTTCATTTGTATTTTCTTTGTGAGATTCCATCGTTAATTACAAAAAGAAAAAACAAACAGAAAAAAGGTCTGCCACGTTGCAATGTGAATGTCACCCTTATCTCCATTTGTGTTTCATTTTTAGGTACAAATCAAATTCAGGAAAGTTTAGCTCAAACAGATTGTTTTTGGCAATTTTCGGTATAATTTTTTTTTTTAATTAATCGAAAACTCGAAGCAATTAATGTCCAATAGTATTTAACCCAAAAAATAAATAAATGTACAATTAAGATGTGCAATAGAATTTTTTTTAAAAAAATGTAGGGAGAATTGCACTATAACCCTCTGAAATTTGTCACTTAATCACTCAGACCCTTAACATTTGAAATTTTACACACAGACCCCCTAAAATTTGTATATGCATAACACTTAAACCCCTACTGTAAATATACACTCAAATCCCCTGAAGTTTGTAAACATATATTTTTTAGACCCCTTAAGTTTAAAATGTTTATATTTAGACCAAAAATATTTTAATTAAAGATAAAATATCAAATATTTTAAATTTTACAATTAAAATTTATGTTATATTATATCATTTATTTAAATAAAATCAAAAATAAAAATTTAATTTTTTCTTAAAAAATCTTAATGAGTATAAATTATATCGTCTATTGGAATTTAATTTGGTCGTTTAAACGATCAAATTAAAATATCAAACTACTTCAATTAAAACTAAAAGATATTGTGTTCATTACAGTTTGATCCCTTATTTAATTTTTTGTTTTATTCTAATAGGTAGTATAATTATATACTAACTATGATTTTTTTTTTAAAACTAGATTTTTTATTTTGTTTTATTTTAATAAATGACATAATAGAACATGAATTTTAGATGTAAAATCTATGTTTTATTATGAATGACTTAGACCCCTTTTTGATTTTTTTAGTTTTATTCCGATAGATAGTATAATTGTATAATAATTACGATTTTTAATAAAAAATTAAAATTTTAATTTTAATTTTATTTCAATAAATGATACAATAGAATATGAATTTTGGTTGAAAAAGTTAAAATATTTAATATTCTATATTTGGTTGGAGTATTTTGGTTTAAGTATAATATTTTAAATTTGAGGGATCTAAGTATTATATACTTACAAACTTTAAAGGAGTCTAAGTATAATTTATTAACAGATAAATTTACAACAAGGGTAAAGTGTTATGCGCAGAGTTTGTATCTAATATTTCAAATGTCAAAGAATTTAAGTAATTAAATGACAAACTTTAGAGATTTGGGTGTAATTCTCCCAAAAAAGTGTATACTTTACCCTGTCACTGCCACGTTCATTGCAACCAAGTGCAAGTGTACTCGTTGATTTCAAATGATAAGTCTCACTTTGTATGAATGTTCATCTGAACTTACAATAATAAAGACAATATGAATCACACATAAATAGTTACTACATGATATGAGTCATTCTAATGGTAGTGAAGAGTTATTTTTAGGCATCATTCTAATTTTTACAAATACAAACATAAATTATATAAACAAATATTGTCAAATAACCACTTTTAAATTTTAAATGGAATTAAAAGAAAAAAAATATGAGTTAAATTAAACCAGAAACATTATGGTACCACATTTTTTATTTTACGGGACCATAGGAAAAAGTGAAAAAAAAATTCAAAAATAGTAAGTTTTATCTTAAAAAGTGAAAAAACTCTGTCGAAAAAGGTTGTAAGTAAACCTAAACAATAGTAATTGAACCCAAAAGGTGATATAAATAGTCAAGTGGTATGTTATTGAAATTTTTTTCTAATATCATAGTCAAACACTAAATTAAACAAATATAGTCCTATGTTATTTCCTAATTCTAGAAGGTTCTAAATGACCCTATAACATTGATTTATTATTTTGGATCTCTTCCAAGAAACATTCTAGAGAATACTAGAGAGACAAAGACAAACACTCCTGACTCGAATTTCAAAATAGCGTGACTTAAATAAAATATTATTCTTTATCCAAAAAGATTGCCAGTTTATAATAAGATTGAATACAAAAATTCATTCGATTTTAATAATACATATTTTTTTCAGAAATTTGATAGATTTTTTTTTAAAAAAACAGGCATATCAAAATGATTGTGAGAGCATTATTTAAAATAAAGTAAATCCAACTAATTATCCATATCATATAAATATTAAACAACTAAGTAAGATCCACATCATTTATTTATCACAACATAATCTAATATCAAGTAGGGATGATAAATAGAGACCTACAAAGTTCTCTCAAATCTTGTATCCATACATTTTTTATTTATTTTGTTGGGGATGGAGAAAGGAGGGGGAACTTGAACTCTTTCACAAGGAAAAGAATATCATTGAACTAAATGTCCGTTAGTTTGTATCTATACATAAGTTTCATCTATCAAAGCTTAACACTAAAGTCATAACTTTACATTATAATACCCGAAAAAATAAGCTCTCATGAAGTAATCAAGTTTACATCACGGGAAATATTATGTGCACCAAATCGATGTGAGCCTTCAGATTGGTGGACCTCACTGTCATCCTACGACTCATATTCATTTGATTTAAAATTTGGTACACATAGCACTTCCATCACAAACTCTTCAAAATACCTTTCAAATACAAGTTTGTGAATAATCACATTTCTATACAACATTCTAAGAATAAATACAAAAAAAATTTCAAAAGAAGTCCCTCCTAATCTAAAGCTCACACAAGTCTTCATCAACTAAGCTTTGATATGAAAGTAAGTCGCTAAAAATATTAATAGGAGATGAGCAATTACAGCCCAATAAGATAAAAAAAAAAATTCCATGCACATAAAAATCGGTTCGAATAAAAATTATATATACATACAAAATTCATATACATGTGCATATACGAATGAATTGAATTTAACAGACATTTAAACTCGAGTTTTAGCTCAAGTTAAACTCTAGTTCCATTTGTTTAAATCAACCAGGCGCCTGAGGTGAAGCGAACAAACTTTGAAATTCATTACAGTTTTGAATTTATTCCAACCAGGCTCAGTTCAGTCACTAATATACAACGAGTCTCATTCAGACTAATGTCATGGTTATCTAACACAACAAAATTGAAAGAATCTATAATGACATCTCACTCAACCAGGTCCGTGGAACGATGGATGGCTCTGAGTGTTGATTTATGCTTGTCAATTTCTTTGAAATCTTCTATTATATCTTCATACGTTCATTTATACCATCTTTGACGGCAAAATAGACTTTAAGCCATAGATTTACGATGTAACAATAATATCTTCAGCCACTCGATGGGCTGGTGTTAGTAGTAAGAGTCGCAATCATGTTATGTCATTTTCACGTCATTTTAGATTTAAATCAAGTATTAGTTAATTTTAATTTAATCTATTTAATTAGTTGTGTCGTTTTTGTGTTGATTCATATAACTCGTAGATAAAAAATTTAACACTCAATTTTATGTATAAAATTTCATTATCACTTAATCATACATATGTTCATATTTTTTTTATTAACTAAACATTAATTTAATAAATATAATAATAAAAATGAGTAAAAATATTTTTTTTTGTATAGGAATTAAGTCACTACTTGATAAAATATAATAAAAAAATAATCTTTTATTCTTATAATACTATTTAAACGTGTTAATTATGTTAATTTTATGTTGTTCGTGTTTGACACAAACTCAACTCATTTATTATTCCTATTAACGGGTCCTGTCACGACTATCAAGCCTGAGAAACGTAGGCATCGGTGATGCCATCCCTTAGAATTTTCCTCCAGGACGATTCAAGTGAATTTGAGGCCTCAAAATGATATAAACTGTCTGGCATCATCGAAAACTTCAGTATCCGATTCCCTCTACCAGTCAAGGAAAGTAAACTCCATGTACATGGAGCCCACTGATGAGCTCTTGAAAGCGACTCTTCCTTTGAAGTTTGATGGATATCGCCTCAGACGCGTACGGTTTGGTATCTATGAAATTACTGGAATGAATTGATGAATGAGTTCAACATGATTAATTTCACTATACAATATCAATATAGGGAAGGAAATTAAGCGGCGGATCATTTGGCAAGGCAGGGATCAGCAAGAGAGACAACCAGGTACTTGAACAATGCACTCATGCCTCGACAACTTAGAGGTATTTTACGGCTGAAATAAGTTTGGGATGCCTAATATGCCCCGCTAATTGGTTACGGTATGTACTAGTTTGTGTGGTTCTTTCTGTTTTATCGATTTGTAACTACAGTATTTCTCTATTACAAGTGAGGGTGATCTAATAAATTTTGGAGATACCATCCTCCTCCTCTAAAAAAAAGAAAAGGCTTGTGCCATAGTATCATTCAGTTAGTATTTTAACTTGCTGATCTCTATAATGCATCTGGTTGATAACTATACAAGCTTTACGTTTATCTTCACTTGAATTTTATATTTCTTTTGTCCGGTGAGTATTCCTTAATCCCTGTAACCATCATTTATCATAAGAGAGAAAAAGAGACAGAGATAGAGAGATTTCAATGTTGAAATATATCAAGCCTCTTGCACCTGCTTTCTATAAACCGATGGTTTTGAGTAACAGGCCGAAGTTAAGTTTTACAAAAGAAATGATATAATTTAGTACAATGAGACTCTTCTTATTACTGGATCTTAACATGATCAAACATATGCATTCATACTCGGGTGCGGAGATGGTATTTTTCATGATGTTTAGACTATAATCGAATAACCTTACAACTACATCGAGATAGTGCTAAACAATCGGGTCAAAAAAGTAATAGTAAAAGTACTAAAATGGAGGGAAGGAAAGCCTAGAAAAGCAAACCCTAGCAGAGAACCTTGGACCTCTTGTGCTACGGCTTTCCCTACCTCCTATTTGAAAAACTAAAGCAAAACAAGACCAAAAATGCATGAAAGTAGCCTTGCTATGGTGTAATAATCAGCAAGGAGAACCCTTCCTGCAGTTAAGTGCACCCGCAGCCATGGTAATCGAACCGACTAGGGAAGATGGTCTTGCACTCAAGCTTGAAGCCTTAGCATAGCTCGAGGAGTCTCTGGCGCCTGACCCCGTAAAAAATGCTCCGTTCAACATTAGGTCTCCTTCTGACTTCCAATTCCAATCCTTCCATTCACTCTCTGGTGCATCCTCATGTTTGGTGGCCTGCATAAATTCAACAGTCATGTGAAATACAAGACATTTGCATGTTCTCCCAAGCAAATAGAGGAGTGGTTAAAGGGTAGTCAATTTTGGCAACGGAGAATCATTCAACTATACAATACACGCCCACACATAGATGTACTTGACTAATAAAACTCGAAATCAATTATATCAAAATTCAAACTCGAGACGTAAAAGTTTGCATACAAAATTTTTATAAGGAAAAAGAAATCAAAAAAGGGTTTCTCACCTCTTTGCTGAATCGGTCATCAGGTGCTAGAAATCTGTTGCCTTGGCTATTAATGGTTGGTGCAGCACTCCCTCCAATTGCATACATGACCCAATGGGTGTAGTCATTATTCACCACATGGAAGTAACCATGTCTGCATCTGCAACACCAAACTTCACTAAATCTAAAGCCAGGGCTCACCTTCATAACCCCCGTGCGTAAAATGAGAGTAAGATTTTATTCAGTACACTTTTTTTTTATCATTTTTTTTCTTGGCATATCATTCGCCATCCATTTAAGTGGGGCCCGTCATATACAAGTAAATCCCTCACTTAATTAAAGTGGATGATATGCTAAAAATTTAATGGAAAGAATCTAAATCCTGTAAAATATACACAAGATTTGCTATCTTATATCATACATAACTTATAGGGGTCGCAAATGGGACGAGTTGTTTATGAACATTTCAAAAACTTGTCTATGTTCATTCATTTTCTAGATGAATCAAGTTTGAGTTCAATTTTACTTATTCAAATCGAGCTTGATTTAGACATGAACTTGAGCTCTAACACAAACTCAAGCTTAGTTAAAAAGTTAATGAGTTGAGTTTACAAAAGATTTTAAAACTTATCATCTCGATCTAGTAGTGAATTTTTTTACAAACGAACTAGCTAAACTCGATTTATTTGATAATCGACTCGACATGAGTTAATTTGTACGCAAGAAACTTTGACTCACCGTGGCATTCTTTGGACAAGCCCTTCTCCAAAGTGATTGAATGCAATTGTAATTTGCATGTTCTTGTCTTGCACAAAGTCATCATTGTGTCCCAAGAGCATGACCTTATCATGGTGTGTCATGTAATTGTTTGAAATTGTGATAGCTGTGGACCCATGAATAGCATCAATCAGCCCATCATTACAGTTTGATAGAGAGCAATGGTCCACCCAAACATGACTACCACCAAAGATGGACACACCATCCCCGTCCGATAGAGTCCTCCACCCATAGTGCCGTGGGGAGTCTCTCACCATAGCATTCCCTCCTTGCTTACAATGATGTATATTCAACCCATGAATAATAATATTAGTCACGTATTGTATAGTTATGCATGGACCACCAGCAATATGAACACTGACTCCTCTACCATCAATGGTCTTGTATGAGTTCATAATTAGCTCCTCCTTTAATTGTATCACCATATCATTAGCAAAAATGATCCATAATGGTTCGTCTTGGATAACGGCATACCGGAGAGTCCCCGGCTTCGGGTTCATCGGATTGTCGTCACCGGATTCAGTGATGATGTAAATTTGACCATCTCTTCCACCTACAGCACCCTTGCCAAACCCAATTGCGCAATCGGCTAGCCTCTGGCGGTTCTTCTCCCAATCGGGGTCGCACCTCCAGCAGTCATCAATGGGGTTGCCGGTACCACAAGAGAGATAACCTAAGTTTCTCCTCGAGGAATTGATGCTCCTGCACTCGAATCAAAGCAAATAAATACTTAAAGTTACATTTTCTCTGACAAACATTCTTAGAGCATATGGTAATTTTAATATGATCTCTGAATAAGAGGTTCTATACTTGAATCTTGCCATCACCCACATAATTACAACTTTCACTTGCTTTGACCAAAATTTAGTCTACACGATAGAGTTATGATTTCGGGTTAATAGCATTTTTGGTTTTTAAAATATGTATTTTTTGTCAATCGAGTCCTCAGTGTATTAATCTTGTCAATTTAGTGCATAAAATATTCAATTTGTGTTATTTTTGTCTCTAATCAGACAATCTATCTAATTTTTTAACAGAAGTGATCACGTGTCATTTTTTTAGAAAATATTAAGTGTCCAACACGTAATCATCTCTTCAAAAACTTAACAGTCCGTCTATATAGAGAATAAAATGACACAAATTAAATACTTTAGAAACTAAATTAATAAAACTAACACAATGAGGACTAAATTGACAAAAAATGCAAATTTTAAAGACTAAAAATGCTATTAACCCTATGTTTTATTTAATTTTGCACTATTTTCTAATAGCTTAGCGTTTTATAGCTTATAGTAGTTTGCGACTGCTTATTTATGAACTCATTTTTACAGCAATATATCAACAACGTCGAGCAACTGTTTTGAACCACTATATATTAAACACACACACACACACACAAGTGTATATATATATAGTTTAGTTGCGTGTTTGTGTGTGAAATGGAGTTGAAGCCTCTTATATTCGAGTGCGTACCTGTGTACTTGTTGTACAACTAATGCAGGGTCTTGTACTGGTGACGAGGAAATGAGGGTGAGAGTTAAGAGAGAGAAGAGGAGGAGGAGAGAGAGAGTGTGAGTTGCCATAGCCATTGCCTCTCTGTCTCTTCCCTTTGAAAAATGGGGGACTGTGGGACGAATGGAGGGTTGGGAGAGAAGAGGGAAGTAATTGAGTTTATAAAGAGATAACAAACAGTCGAAATGGCTTAATTAAACTAAACATGTGGGTCCAGCTGCTTCATGATTACGGGTTTAACGAAGCATTAATAATAGAATAATGTTATTTGATACATAATTTAAGAATTTAATGTCATTAGATTGATGATAACGTGAATTCAATATTAGAACTTATCAACAATTCAATAATCGCCATCATTAAGTTTTGTACGCATTGCTCCTATGAGAGATTCCTTCGGGTAGTTTTTGCCAAGCAAGCCCAGCTTACAAAGCTTGAGAATTCACCTGTCTTTTGTATGGGCATGGGACCTACCACAGAAAAAAGAGTGACCCTATCTTGTAATATTGGAGGCCCACACAATAGCTCAGCCTCGTCACGTGCACCTTTCATAGGATTTGACTAAAAATCAAACATGAACTTAACACCACTCGTATACAATCTGAATATGACTATAGACGTAATAGATATAAGTTAAAATTAATTAGTTTTGACATGATACGACTTAAGTATAGTACAAATTGCATACAATATGATGTATTGTTGCTTAAAACCCCAAAAATTTTGAGCTTTAATTTAATTTTTAGCCCTCAATTCAGTTTCTTGTTCTGAGATCCTTTTAAATGGACCAAGTTAAAGGCCCAATTTATTTTACGAGACTATATAAAAACTTTATAGAAATTACTAAAATATAACAATATTTTCATAAGTCTATGTAAAGTTTTATAGAATGCTCTAAAATATATCAAAACTTTTTTAAAAAGCCTAAAAATAATGACTTCTAATTTTAAAAGTAATTATCTCTCTCAAATTCTTTCCTAAAATATAACAATATTTTCATAAGTTTATGTAAAGTCTTATAGAATGTTTTAAAATATATCAAAGTCTTCTAAAAAAGCCTTAAGTAATGACTTCTAGATTTAAAAGTAGTAATCTTTCTCAAATCCCTTTCACTTTCTTTTCCTTTACTTTCACCGCCTCTTTCTCTTTAAGATCCTGAATTCATAATTGCACTCAATTTATGCTTTGGTTTAGTCTGATCTCAAAACACTAAAACTTTGGAACTAAATCATACAATAACTTTATAAAATATCTAATAATCATAAAACATTATTATCTTCCTAAAATTTTGATTGGGGTCTGATGTTCAATTCTCGCTTTAAGCCCCATTTTTGTGTTAGACTGCTATTGTTGTGCGTCATAAAAACTCGAATAGTTAATTCATTATACACCATGGGGTGGCCTCTATCGTTGCAATACTCGCCAATTTTAGTTTCATAGAAGTAGGTCACTTTATATTTTTATCTATTGGTATCGACGGGAGTGTTGTGCCGCCTAGGGATGACGACATGGCTGATCAGTGAGGGAGGAGTGAATTCAAGTGATAGCTTATAGGTGAGAGTGTAACACAATGATTTTAATGTATTAATTGCCTCAACAATTTTGTGAGTTGTGCATTAACTTTTGACAAAAACAAAAAAAGAGAGATATTAACGCATTAGTTGATTCAATACACACAAAAGTCACTTTAGTAACGGGTTATGACTTAGCTTTGGCAAGAAAAAGTAAAAAATTTTGAAATAGTAGAATGACACGTGCCAGATACGCACGCGTGTACATGTGAGAAAGAGAATGGATGCTGAATTTCACCATGCCTAGAAAAGTTGTTCCTGGGTTTTGTTACATCAATGATGTTGTGTTGGGTATATATGAGCTTCTCAAAGGTTACATGGTATTATTTTTATCCACAACTTGATTATTTGTGTAATTTAATTATACATTTGTATTTTATTCCCCATGTTTAAGGATATGTGGAAAGGAAAAGATTTATCTCTAAACGTTTTTGCTTTTTTATGAACTTTTTTTTGTACACTAAACGAAAGGTGAATAAATAATACAGTGTTACGATCATAGCTTATCTATTTGAGCAACTCAACTGACTAAGAGATGAAAGGGTTCCATTTTCTTGGTTGAAAAACACAACGGCCATCAAATAATAAGAATGAGCTATTTAAATGTATTTAAGAAGAAAATAGAAACACAAAAAAAATTTATACTTAAGCCAAAGCCAATTTTTTGGTTTAAGGCATAATTGTCTTTGTAGGATCATTTAAGGACAAAATAGGAGTGTGACATTAATTCTAAAAGTATGACATAGTTGTAATATTGGGGGCAAAGGTAAAATATTTTTTTTTAAGTATGCTCAAATATTTTAAAGTAGTATAGATTTGGTTTTTTTAACTACCCACATTTATATTTTTTTACTATCTTTAGTAACTATTTAATCTTTAAAACTTTTTAAAAATAATTTAGTCATTAATAGATCTGTTTCAATAACGTTGGGGGTGGGGAGGGGCAGGGGTGGGGGCGGGGGTAAGGGTGATGATGAGGGTATGTGGAAAATAATATAATCAGATCTTTATTTTTTGTGTCTACAATGTATCGCTCCCTCATATCGACTTTTGTCAAAATGCAAAATGAATATGTAAATAGATTACTCTACATATCTGTTAGGAAACACCATCTTGTGATATACAAAACAACGTTCTTTTGTTGTTGTTTAGGGAACATCACTATGCATTGTAGGGTAGAGGATCATCGGAAGAAAAGTGAGGTTTGTGAGAAATAAAGGGAAAAACCCAATACAAATTAAAGAATTTGAAGATCTTTCGGGGTACAAAGGATCATTTACCCTTAAGAACAATACCATTTTTATATTATTCATAATTCTTCATAAACTTTTCATTGTTTTTGTTTTT